ACACTGTGTCACAGCATCCAGTACAGATCAGGAGAGAAGCGGTACATGCTCGTTGGACCCAGAATGAGTATAGGATCTACTATAGTACCGGGCAGCCATGCAAATACACTTGTGCTTCCCGATAGAAGAGGTGCTACTGAAGAGGTAAGGCCTTAATACCAAACTTTTGCACAACCATGTTTAACCTGGCGTTCCTATAAATGTTTTGCTGCAATGTTGTCCCTGAAACTCTTGTCACAATGTATTTTTTAAAGCATGTCTTGTTCAAATTTTCCTATCTGCAATATGTAACTGAGATATAAATATTAAGAAACATCGCTTTGGTTAGCTGGATGAAGTTTTCATGCTTCCGAAGTCACTCTGTTCTCCTTGATAAAGTCCAACTGCTTGTCTTTTTTGCTACCGACAAACATTAATAAGTTTAAGTAAGTGAAGAGGTTTTGTTTTTAAATTAATTACACGAAGAAAGCTTTCTAATAGCGTTATTAACCTTCCTGTCGTGTTCGGGTCAAATCTGACCGATTTACAAATAAAAAAAACCTCACAAATATTTTGTTTTACATCCGATTGCCTCGAGTCCTGATGACATCCTCCACACTATGCACTTGAACATATAAAAGTGATGAGCACCTCTTTCGTTGAATTTTTAGTTTTTTAATAACTTTGTTACATCTGTGGTGTTCCCGGTCAAAACCGACCGCCATAGCAAATGAATGTCTGCCCTGACTTAATTACATCCCTTTCAGAAAGTCTTTAGTAGGCGGGACTGAGTGCTCTATAAGTGTTCTCGACTGAAGGGATTATTATTGATCCTATTTGTTTTTTAATAAAAACTATTTGCATCACATTTTTGAGTTACTTACAGAATACCAGATATGAAGGTGACCAGCTGTAACAGGCAGGCTTCAGCTTCATCCAAAGCGTTTCGTATCATACTATTGTGACCACTTGGTGTCGGTATGGCATAGGGAATGGTTGTGCGCTTCATTCTGCACAGGCCCTGCCCATCTGTGGTTCCTATCTGGTGGAGGTGTACACAGGGAGTGTGCCGAGGAGGCTAGATATCAAATAAAACGAACAGCGGTAAATCTTCGTTAATAGAATTTCATCTTCTGGAGAATCATGAAAATGTTCTAATGAGACTGACTCCATAAGCGATGGGATCACTGAGTTTGCATCCGAGTAAGCCCTTATATATTTACCTCGGGATGGGGGAAGGAGGACAAAGACACCGCGTGAACTGCTGGTGGGTCGCCGGGATTGTGTTGCTGTGCTTTGCGGAGAGGATTTTGGCCCAGCTAAGATACTCTGTTCCAGAAGAAGTTCAGGTGGGATACCCTGTTGGTAATGTTGCAAAGGATTTAGGACTAGAGATCAGCAGCTTAACTGGCAGGAAATTCCGTATTGTTTCGGGTCCAAATCACGATCTGTTTCAGTTAAATCAGAACAATGGAGTGTTGTATGTTGGCAAAAAAATGGATCGTGAAGAGCTCTGTGATGGAAGCAAGGTTTGTTTGATAAACCTGAAAATTGTTGTTGAAAGCCCACTGGAAATACATTATGTTGGAGTTGAAATAACCGATATTAATGATCATTCGCCGACTTTTCCAGAAAGCGAACAGCGACTGGAAATAGCAGAGAGTACGCCTCCAGGTACTCGTTTCCAAATTCATGCTGCCCGAGACCCTGATTTTGGTGCACAATCACTTCGAAAATACACACTGAATCCCACGGATTTATTTGATATTGAAGTCAGAGACAGTGAAGAGGACAAGATGCCGTTTTTAGTGCTAAAAAGGCCTTTGGATAGAGAGCAAAAGGCTGAGCATCGTTTACTGTTAACAGCCGTTGATGGGGGGAGTCCAGCGAAATCAGGAAGCCTTAATTTAACCATCACCGTGCTAGACACGAATGATAACCGACCTGTGTTCAGCAAAGATGTATATACTGTGTCACTGGATGAAAATGCACCAATAGGAACATTTGTTGTAAAATTAAATGCTACAGATTTGGATGAAGGTTCCAATGGCAACATTGAATACAACTTTGGTAAAATACAAAAGAAAAAGGTGCACGACACCTTTGAATTGGACAGCATAACCGGTGAGATTCGTGTAAAGGGAAACGTAGACTTTGAGGAAACGGAGCTGTACAGGCTTGATTTGCAGGCTTCAGATAAAGGTCAGCCACCCTTGAAAACCGAAAGTAGAGTAATGATTAAAATAAAGGACGTGAACGACAATAAACCAGACATTGAAGTAACGTCACTGTCCAGCTTAATCCCAGAGGATTCAAAACCCGGCACTGTCATCGCCCTCATCAGCGTTGTGGACAAAGATTCAGGCGTTAATGGGAAGGTTATTTGTAAAGTATCGCAGGATGTTCCATTTGATCTGACGCCATCACTTGAGGAAAACATGTACTCGCTCGTTACAAAGGGCCGTTTAGACAGAGAAACTGTTTCCCGCTATGAAATCACAATAACAGCTACTGATTGCGGTGAACCTCAACTTTCAACAGTAAAAACACTGAGTGTTCAGGTGTCAGATGTAAATGATAACACACCAGTGTTTAGTCAGAATCCATTTGAGTTGTATTTGATAGAAAACAACACCCCGGGCGCAGAAATATTTTCTGTGAGCGCAGTTGATGATGATTTGAATGAAAATGCAGCGATTACATATAAAATTCTCAGAGGTGATGGTCTACAGGATGCTATTACATCTTTCCTGAATGTAAATTCGGATAATGGACAAATCACTGCGCTGAAAAGTTTTGACTTTGAAACGCTGAAAACTTTCCAGTTCCAAGTTGTTGCCTCAGATTCTGGAACTCCGTCACTAAGCAGCAACGTCACAGTCAACGTCTTCATCCTGGATCAGAACGACAACGCTCCAGTCATCCTGTATCCACTCAGCTCCAACGGTTCTGCTCAAGGTGTGGAGGACATTCCCCGAAACGTCAACGCAGGACACTTGGTGACTAAAGTCAGAGCCTATGACGCTGATATAGGATATAACGGCTGGTTGCTCTTTTCACTGCAGGAAGTTACTGACCACAGTCTCTTTGCTTTGGACCGCTATACAGGACAGATCAGAACACTTCGCTCATTCACAGAGACTGACGAAGCTGAGCATAAATTGCTCATACTGGTCAAAGACAACGGCAACGTTTCTCTCTCAGCAACAGCTACTGTGGTTGTCAAACTTGTGGAGCCCAAAGAGGCTTTTGCAGCTTCTGATGTTAAAAGCGCAGCAAAAGATGATGAGGACAGTAATGTCATATTTTACCTCATGATAACTTTGGGCGCAGTTTCTGTACTTTTTCTCGTCAGCATTATTGTGCTGATTGGAATGCAGTGCTCCAGGTCCACAGACTATACTTCTAAATATCTTCCAGAGACTAATTATGATGGGACACTGTGTCACAGCATCCAGTACAGATCAGGAGAGAAGCGGTACATGCTCGTTGGACCCAGAATGAGTATAGGATCTACTATAGTACCGGGCAGTCATGCAAATACTCTCGTGTTTCCTGATAGGAGAAGAACATCTGAAGAGGTAAGAGCACGTTTTTACTTAAAGCTGTTTCGGGAATGAAAACAAAATTCCCTCCTGGCAACCACGACTCTCTTTGGAGATAAAACATGCGGTCCATTTTACTATATAATGCAAATAATTTTAATCAGTGTTCTGTATATCCGTGTTGAAGTTTTGTAGTGCAGGTAAATAACATGAAATCATATTTTGTTTGGTTCTCCCTAAGTGCACTGGTGTACTGGTACCGTAAAGAAAAGCAAGAAAGAAATTTCTTTATTCAGAAAAAAAGATAATATATTTATTTTATCCTATTTTATCTTATTTTGTTATTTTTATTCATGTACGTATTTTTGTAGTAAAGGAGGGATGCATACCTGAATAACATTGTATTTATGGAAGGTAATATTCACTAGTATGATTAGGGTACCTGAACTGAAAGCTTTGATCGTGACACTTCCCTGTCTTTTCAACTTGAAAAGCTATATAAATACGCAATAAGCACAAATGGAACTATCCAATTTGCAAACACACTGATATTGCTGATTTTTTGATGGTATATTTTAAAAACAGTCCGTAATACTGTTTCCAGTTTTTCGCGCTGGATTAAGTAGACGACCCAAAATGCCGTAAGCCCATTCCAGAGGGCCGCGTAGGAACCCACACGGGTCCTGTTATTGCGTCAATTCTCAACTATCTTAATATACAAACAAACAACAACAACAACAACGACAAACAAACAAAAAAAATCTTCAAAACGTAAAAATGTCTTAATTTTTTGAATCCACACGGTGTCAGTGTCATATCAGCATCCAGTTTTTGTGTTATAGCACTAGTCCTGCCCCTTCCACAGAGGTTTTGTTCTGGTGGACAGAGAGGAGACGACACTATACACAGACACAGGTGTAACCGTGATTTATACGTGGGAAGCTTCGGAATATTGGGTATATTTCAGAGTGGATGTTATGTTTTGAAAAATTAGTGTTAGACCACGGTCTTGGATGTAAAGACCTGTGAGTGGATAGATATTTTGTTATCTTAACGAAAACGATGGAGCCAAGAGGACAAAGACGAGGAACGCAGTGCTGGTTGTTTGCTATCAGCTTTTCTCTGATGCTCAGCTGTGTGGAGCGGGTTTCAGCTCAGATAAAATATTCAATTCAAGAGGAAGTAAAGGTAGGAAGTGTTGTTGGGAATGTGGCAAAGGATCTGGGACTGGACATCAGTTCATTGGAGGAACGACGGTTTCGTATTGTCTCTGGAGCTGAAGATGCTCATTTTGAAGTAAATCCGAACAATGGCGCTCTGTATGTTCACGGAAATATCGACCGAGAAGAGCTGTGCGAAAAAATACATCCATGTATTAAAAACCTAAAACTGGTAGCTGAGAACCCCATGGAAATACATTATGTAGGAGTGGAAATAATAGATGTAAACGATAATTCACCAAGGTTTCCTGATGAAGAAAAAATATTAGAAATTCCTGAATCAACTCTCCAAGGTAAACGATTTCAGTTGCCAACTGCACATGATCCAGATGTTGTTACTAATACAGTACGAACGTACAAATTAAACCATAACGATCACTTTAGTTTGCAAATTAGAGAGAGGGGAGAAGATAAGATACCATTCTTAGTTTTACAAAAGTCTCTGGATCGGGAAAAGGAGAACGAACACAAACTGATACTGACAGGAACTGACGGAGGAAATCCACCGAGATCAGGGACTCTTAATGTCACAGTCATAGTCCTGGATTCAAATGATAACCATCCTGCATTTAGTAAAGAAGTTTATTCAGTAACGATACCTGAAAATGTAGATGCGGGTACAAGTGTAACTGCGGTAAAGGCGACTGATTTGGACGAGAGTTCAAACGGAGAAATTGAATATTTTTTTGGTGAAGAACTTGACCCTAAATTGTATGATACATTTAGCCTTGATAAGGACACTGGTGAAATTCGAGTGAAAGGCGAAATTGACTTTGAGAATATGGAGGTATACAAGTTGGATGTCCACGCCACAGACAAAGGACAACCTCCGATGAGTACCGACTGCAGGGTGATTATCAAGGTGCTGGACGTAAATGATAATAAACCTGAGATAGAGGTGACATCTTTGTCAAAGATTGTATCAGAAGATTCCAAACCTGGGACTGTGGTGGCTTTGATCAGTATTACAGACCAAGACGCGGGTTTAAACGGTAAAGTAATATGCAGCCTTTCAGACAATGTGCCATTCGACTTAAAACCGTCATTTCAAGACAATATGTACTCCTTAGTTATTAAATATAAATTAGACCGAGAATCAGTTTCCCATTACGACGTAACAATAACAGCAACAGACTGTGGCGTGCCTCCTCTGTC